AAGGTTTATTCTAAGGCCTCGAAAAACATCCATTTTGAAGAGCCCCAAACCCAGAAACCTTTATATGTACCCTTAGCTGTGTAGTCCACTGCCCAAGTCCCGCCAGGCACCTCCAGCTGGGCTACTGCCTGATAGGAGAAGGCTTGGTAGAGCCCTCAAGGCTCGCAGAAGTAATGGGCTTAGGGCCTAAGTCACACTAAAATGGGTATATAGTAAGCTTAAGTAATGGGTTTCCTTATTCTAACTTGAATTGAAGTCCTTAACAGCAACCAAGCAAAATGAGGTCGAGACACAATTCGAAACAAGTAGCAGAGCCGCTGGTAGCTCTAAAGTATTGAGGTCTTATGCGGTCTCTCCTCAGCTTACCCGCGGCCGCCTCAACGGTCAACTAAAAAACATGCACCGCGCGTTGAACCTCCCGTTCTGCTCTTGCTGGATATCGAACCCCCACCACTTCCCACCAAGAACCGCCCTCCGCACATGTGAAAAGTTGCCCAGCCTCCAAAATCAACTACCGGCTTGTCAGCCCAAATGCGTTTTGTTGAAGTAGACTTAAGGGCCGATTGTGGAGGATTGGGACCCCTGGAATCTGAACTAAACCAAGACCTACACTGCCCGTAGACATGTATTCCTGTACGTACTAGCTAGAGGCAAGCCATATCTTGAGAGTTACTACAGAAGACAGTAATTCATACACCAATCATGAGCTAGCACTGCTAATCAACACTTACAAATACGAAGCATGTTCTCTTTTATTGCCGAACATCAACGGAGCTATTACGGCCTAGTCGTCGCTGTTTGGGGGAAAAGTTGTCCATGAGTACACACACAGCCCTCATGGTTTAGGGTAGCCCAGGAATCCCACGAAATTGCCTTGTGAGAAAGAAAGCACGGATGCATCCTAAATCCCTCAAAGATGACAGCCACTGCGATGATTTTGAATCGTGTTTATAGCATGTCGGCAAGTGCGGTATGAAGGACATGCTGGCAATTTTTCAGGCCCCAAATTACATGGCTTCATCTATGAAGGATTTGTTCCCAAGAAGTTCGGCCCCTTGAGTACAAGCTGTATACATGTCCTGTAGAAGCTCCAGCAGCCCCAACGGCTTTGTTGAAGGCTGTTTCCTACATCCTGAACCATGAACCCTCAAGAAATGGAGGCAGAGCTCAAGACCTTACTCACTTCCCTCTAATAATGAGCTTCCTCACTCTCTTAACAACAGATACCCCGATTTTTGCACCATTTTATATAAGGGGGGGAGTCTTTATTCGCAGGGGCGAGCGGAGCCCATTTCTACAGCTGACCTGCGCCGCCCCACTGCACAGGGCCTTTGCTCGCCGGACAACCTCAGCAAGGTGAGAACTCATGGGTTTAGGATTTCCAAGTGTTGGTTTATGTGGTGGTGTGAAACCGATATATTGTGGCCCGAAGCAGCCAAAAGGATCCCAAGTATTTCGACCCCTGTTTTGAGCTCTACTGCAGCAGGCATGCAATGATGCTCGCAGGAAGTCTCCCACCTTTAGCCGCAGCCCGAAACTCTTGAACATCGTGTGGCTCTACTGAGCCTTGTCTTTGCTATTAGCCTGAAATCACATGTCCTGGGTGGTGGGTTTGAGAGTTTATCGTGGTGGAGGATAATGGGTTCCTGGTCTCCAGTCTGAAAGAGCACGGTAGCCCCTGCCGATGGGGACCGCCATCAGGGTTGTGGGGGGCTGCGTTATAGCGTGGAAGTATCACGACGCCTTCTGCCTGCTTGCTGAAAGGTAGGCTTCGTGAGGCACAACCCTCAAGGATTCTCACGCGGAGTCTTCATGGGTGTAGGTACCCTTTTCACAAGGTCACTACTTGGCGATGTCCCGGATCCTAGAAGCTTGCACTTGAAATAGCACAACTCACTGAAAGCCAGGTAACAATCTTACCATCCCTTTTTAATAGGGTACTATCAATCACAGCGCGCAGCAAGCCACCCGGATGATGTTTCTTCAAATTTTTAAACAGGATGCCGGCCGGTGCTGGCCATGCCTGTGGTGAAGCCTCTGAGAAGACCCCGAGGATTACCTGGACCCCGAAAGTATGCAAAATAATAGCCAGAATAATAGCCCAAAACCACTGATAGCCCAAAAGGCCATTATTCTATATACTTTTGGGCTCAGGTACTCTCTGCACACTACACTGTAACATTAGAATCTTGGGAGATGAAACAACATTTACTGCAAGTGTCTGGGCTTCAGGCCGGATCGTCGGCAAGCAGGCTCGGCAATCCTGAAGGCGTAGGATCCACCTGATCATGTGGCATAGGGGCTTAGGGGAGTTGGGGCTCACCAAGTTTATCCAACTGTTCCGATCATTTTGTGTTTTCTTGTTTGGGGTGTTCCTTTTGGGATGGTAGACTATACTAATGCCTGACACAAGTAATGCAAACCCAACCAATAAAAACCACTGAGGAGGTCATTGGGAGTGAGTACGTAGAGCACTTGGGAGTTTCTCAAAACAAGAGGCTCCAGGGGATCTTGGGATAATACCCGCACTGTCAGGGGGCTATAGGTAAAGTCCCTTGTTAGAGATTAAACGGTTATCTGTGGCAATTCTCATCGTCTCACATTTTTTGATTGGTACAGCTCAGGGTTGCTACAGGAGAGCCTTAGAAAACGCTGCAGGGCGTCAGAATATCGAGAACCCTGTGTTGACATTTGCCCAAAGTGGCAAAGCCCTTGCGCGCCATTCCCAAAGCCAATGTCACCCTTCAAAGTTTGTGAGAAAGCAGGTGACGAAAAAGAGCCCATGCAGTTGCGAAGGTCCGGGAGGAAAAGCACCTTCTGGGCAGTAGGATGCTGGAGAACCATACCCTCGCGAGGTTGCCGATATAGCATGGAGCACCTACCTGTGGATCGCCCGAAATGTAAAGCCTGAAAATCAAATGCTTCACCCTTGCGGCAGCGGATAAGACATGCACGAACAACTCTTGCAAGCCATGTGATTTCTCAAAGTGAATACTTAACTACAAGCCTGGCTCTACTGGCAAGGACTGGTTATTACTGGTACGTCTGGTGGGTCTTCCTGGACAAGACCTACGGACCGTCAACCCCCAAACCTCATAAACCCTAAACCCTATAAACCCTCACCCTTAACCCTATAAACTCTAAACCCTGTAAACCCTAAACCCTATAAACCCTAACCCGAAACCCTACAAACACCCTACAGACTCTAAACCCTATAAACCCTAAATCCCTAAGGCCCTAAACCAGTTCGACCTCATCCTGCTGCGGCCAGCGCCGCACGAAGCGTGCCCGAGCCTGCTGAGGGGCTGGTTTATAGGGTTTATAGAGGGTTTAGGGTTTATAGGGTTTAGGGTTGATAGGGTTTAGGGTCTGAGAATCCTGCATGACCCTCGTATGTTACAATACTGTATTTCCCAAGGTGCACTATGCTATATTACCATTTTCCCAAAGGTACAGTAGACTATGCCACTATAATTGAAAGGTAGCCCATACTATAGCATAGCTCACATGGTATAGTTAAGGTACCTGGGGCCATGCAGGATTTTTAGCTTCCACCGAAGGACAGATCGAATCACACAATAAAGTCTGTCAAATCTTGCAGCGACACATACCGGTCAGTGCATTTTTTCGTCAGCGACCAGACTCACATGAGGTTTACAGTTTATTTATGAGATAATGCCAGAACAGCAGAATAGGACCAGGCCATTTGAGTGTCTCTCGATCTTTGGTAGCAGCTAAAATTTTGCCTGGCACAGACGAATACCTGCGAACAGCAAGCAAAGAATCGGAAGCACTCTTCCTGGTCGAAAGCATACATTTGCGCCATTTCCGGCATGTGAGCCATAATCTACACTCCTTTGAGGAGTTTAGGCTATAGCTCATGTGAGAAGATTGATTGGCTTTCCCGTCTGAAGCTACTGCGGGCGTGCTTGCTTGTGACCAAACCCCTATTTCAGCTGCCAACCCACGGTGAAGACCATCAACAAACTCCTTCGCTGTGTCACAAGCATCGCGGCCTCTTGTAGATCTGACAACTGCGCCTCATGATGGCTCATGTCTTGGGTCCAAAAGCTTGGCTTTGATGGCCCCATATGAACGCAGGCAACAAAAGGGATAAGCAGCACCTGGAACAACAAAACAGACCATTGAAGCTCTCTAGATCTCTTTGGGAAACATTCAACACTCACCATACCGAATTGGTACCGAATCGGTCTATATAGGGTAGCCACTCATCCAGTTGAATAACGGAAAAAACTCAGCAGTTTCAGGGCCCACACGGGAAAACTGCTCGTGGAGAAGACTCCCCACCACAAGACTTCCCAAGAAAGAAATGCCGAGCGATCTTCAAATAGCTGAAGACAAGCGTGTTCCTGCTGGGCAACCACCAGCTTGGGGCACATGCTGCAGGGCTCCTGCCTGCATGGCAAGCGCAACTTCTGTACAGTCTGTACATACTTGCCATCTTTAAACAAGCTGCTAATCTGGGTTGGCCCTTAAACCCTTTGGCAAAAATTCGTATATAAGGTCCCCTATATTACAGCCATAGAGAAAATATCATGTCCCAGGAGCCTGCCCAGTAACATCTTACGAGTTGTGTGTTCTGCCAGGTCTGCCACGTCTTCGGGCCTTCGGGGATTTGGGAAGTGTAAGCCAGTAAGCAGAAGCGCCCTGATTAGGCGAAACCTCCGAACACCCTTGACGTGCTAGACGGCATATTCTGCGCGAGGCCGGCAGAGACTACTGAGCTGCGCTGCAATGGCGGGATGATTCTTAGGCAGCTCAAGCCTGCTACACTGGCGGATGGGCGCAAAATCGGGTGCCAAAGCGTGAAAGTTTAGGACGGTGTGGAACTCTGCCTGTAACCGACCTGCACCACTGCTACAAGCATGCAGCCCATGCGGATATCTTCCTGGCACTGCCTGCGCTGCGCATTGCGGCGAAGATGGGACTCTAGACAAGAGAATCCCGAGGATGTACGGTGATACGTTATTATTGCGACCTCAGATGCTGAAGGTGGAGAGGCACGGCAGCAAGCCTTCATGCAGGTTCGCCATGGCCAAATCCGATGGTGAGTCGCCCCGCTCATTGGTCAGCATTTCGGCGCCTGCATCCACGAGCACCTGTGTCACAGCGCTGTCACCGAGTAATGCAGCGAACCCCACAGGCGTCAACCCGGGCAAGCTGGCTAAAACCTTCAAGCTCATCATCGAGCTGCATCCCAAGTTGACCACATGGAAGTAGGCTCGAGCTGCCCAGGAGATAATCTTGAAAGCATGACACGGGCGGGCTTGCAGGTTCAAGTCCGCACCATGGCTCAGAAGCAAACGCGTGATTTCCACTGCATGCTTGTTCTCTCGGGAGAAGGCTGCTGCTGAGTGAAGTGGGCCGTATCCGAGACCACTTAGCTCAGGGTTTGGGTCGCACTTCGCGAGCAGCATCGCTTCGACGGTTCTGTGGCAAGCATGTGAGATAGCACAGGTCAGCGGCGTCAACCCCATCGGGAACACTGGCGTGTGCAAGTCTGTTCCGGCAGCAACAAGGGCATGGACATGCCTCAGCGATGGTTCCACCATGCTTTCTGCTGCGATAATGATGGGAACTGCATGATACATGGGGCAGCAATACAACAAAACACCCTGCCAGCGGCCTCTTAAGGAAACTTTATCTCAAGCAAGATCCGGATGCTCAGGAGATCGCACCACGCAAATGGGGCTTGCACCGTTGCTGTCGCTTGCATGCACATCAGCCCCAAGCTCAAGGAGAGTAGAGACTACCTGCCACTGCGCATTAGAGCTCATGGTCTTATGCGAATGCAAACAACCGTTGCTAATTATTCCGTTGCTTCTGACGACCTGCCTCCACCGAACAGAGGTGCCTTGTGGCCAGGAGGAGGGCGGACTGGCCATCAAAGAACCCCAAATTGCCGAGGCCAGACACACCGGAATTCACATCAGCCCGGCTGTTGGCCAGGACACGCAGCATCCCTGCATCCTCTGAGAAGGCTGCGCAGAGAATGCCACCCATTCCAGAATGTGATCCAGCTGATTCCAAGCTGCTGAACTTGAAGTCCTCAAGGAAGGTCTTTGTACTCCGTGATTTGCTCGTCTGGCCCAGCATCACAGGCGTCCTTGCAAGGAGGAAGCGGTATGAATCCGAGAAGCCCTGGCTGCTCAGGTAGCGCAGCTTGCTCTCCAGGGCGACGGTGCCAAGTCTCGACACCTCTTCTCGATCTTCCTCCACCGTGAAGTCCCCATCTGAGATGCGGTTTGCCTCTCGATTTTGTGCGCAACTGCCACGCTACTGAAATTTGCTGGTAGCGTGCCATCTGATGCCCTACCTGCGTCACTCTTTAACAATCGTCTCGTTAGGCCTTACTGCGGTCGCCCAAGTTTATCTTTGCACCTAGTCCGCCCCACACCTTTTCAACTTACATCGGGGAGGTCTCATGCTACATGCAACTTTCAACCTAGACCCACGACACCACCAAGCAGCTTCTGCCGCTGCCAAACTGACAAAGACGGCCAGGACGCAGGAATCCAAATCACACCCGTCCCAACCCCAACCTTCCACCAAAAGGCCAAAGGTCTTAGATGCTGAGTCTTCTCAACGCTTGCGTGTATGAAAGATTAATATTAAAGGACCGGAGAACCCCACAGGTGTAGTTTAACCTGAACCTGAAAGAAATGATATTAGGATGCCGTCGCCCGCCGAAATAATGAAGAAGACCAAGAAAGCGAGACGAAAACCGAGGAAATGCCTCGCTGAAAAATCTTAGGGGTGCACCCCTTGAGATTTGAGGACTTGATCCTCCGCACCCCTTGCGATTTGAGATTTGGAGAGATGATTCTCTGAACAATCTTCTGGGGACACCCCTTGCAATGTAAGATTTGGGGACTTGATCCTGTGAAAAATCTTAGGGAGACACCGCTTGCGATTTGAGATTTGGGGACTTGCTTCTCTGAAAAAATCTTAGCGGGACACCCCTCGCGATTTGAGATTTGAGGACTTGATTCTCCGAAAAAATCTTAGGGAGACACGCCTTCCGATTTGAGATTTGGGGACCTGAACCTCTGAAAAATCTTAGGGGACACCCCCTGCAATTTGAGATTTGCTGAAAATATAAAGATGATAATAAAAAAAAAGCGCGACTGTCTCGAGCGGGAGCGCGATTTTGAGTAAACAAGGAATTTTGAGGTTGTCCCGCACGGGAGCGCGATTTTGAAAATCGGGGCGCGACCCGTTCAGTTACAGACCTCTCTAGCAAGACTACTTTAAAGGGAGAGCGGCCTATTTTTGACATCGAAAATCAACATAGAACGACGACATTTTTTAAGGATGCTCCAAGCGAGAGCCGATGTTTTTTAACGATTTAGGGCGCGTCCGATATGTTTGCGCGACGGAAGAGCACGCAGGGATGGCGAGCGACAGCAAGAGCCCCACACTGAATGTGGGGAACAAAGAGGAGGGCTTAGCAGAAGCAGCGCACAAGGCCCAAGAAAGTGTTGTCCACTTCCACGCTGTGCCATGTTCCAACTGTTCTCAGTCATGACACGACGCTGTGTTGCATTTGGATTAGGAGTGTTTTGCTCTTTACGCTGGATCGACACTACGTGCTCCTGCTGAACCTGGCGAGTTCCCTCTTTGCCGAAACGCGTGGCATGTAGCATGTTCATGCTTAGAGGCTCTTGGAAAGGAACTTCTGTGCTACAGAAGATGGACACTATTTAGGATTAGCAGTGCGAACGTGGAAAAGGCCTGCCAATCCAAGGGGTGAATGAACTTTGCCTCTTTGGGGCCAAGCACCACGATGACGCTCGTTTCCTGCTTGCATGAGAGAAGGCGGCACCAGAGTTCTGCACGACACCACCCCCTCGAAATCCAAGATTTTGCTTTTGAGGACATGACGTGATTCATCTGGCATAGTTACCGGAGATTTACCAAGTTGTCAAAGCATCTCAAAAGCGTTCCCAGCTGCTGTCAGAGCTCTACCACGATCCGTAATCAGCTCGGGAACCAAAGACACGAAGAGGTCTGCAACCTCAACATAGGCCGGGATACTGCGAACGGCCCTTAGACCCTCTGGCATAGTGTTGCCCTCCATCGTTCGGACAGTGATGCTCGGGATTGCAAACCAGTCCAGGAACACGAAACCATTGCTCACGTCCTGCAGGTCAGGGAAGCTGTTGCCTGAACCCCAAAAGCATGTAGAACAAGTGCTTTTGGTCTCTGTTCAGGGGTTTTTACCCACTGATTAGTTTTTGTCCAGGTAAGCATCAAGGGGATCATTCTGGTGCATCGCACCCCCCGCGCAATGTGCACCCTCATCGGTGGAAGGCAGAAGAATGGGTGGCTTCGAATCACAGATGTCACTTTCCCTGATAGACCCGAAGATCCTGCAGAAAATCCATGCGAACACGTTGCGGGCTCTCCTGCCCAAACGTACCCAAGGAGCTTTCTGCATCTTGCTGAATGAAGCTCTCACGGAGCTCAAGACACCACAGGTTTCATGTTTTGCACTGTCCGGCCGGGTGAAGTCGCGGAGAGCTGAGAGTCACAGCTACTTTGCCTGCCCGAGCCAAGCGGCAGGAGCAGTCTGCCGCGCGTTTTTGGCATCGACGATTGGAGCTGGCTGACTCATGAACAGGGGCCTCTTTTGTTGACTGCTCAAGTACTATTAGCAGCATGGGGAGCAAAGCAGTTGAGTTGACGAGCTTTTCTGTTATTGCAAACGGGAATACCGGCACTGCAAGCAGAAAACAGTAGGTACCCTTCCCCCTAACAATCATGACTGCAAAAACGCGCAGGATGTGAGTTCCTAAAGAGAATGCAAATACTGGCAGGTGTCTGTCAAATTTGTCGTGGTTTGTTACGCGTCTCAGTGAAGGAGAGCTGTGCGTCCAGAGCAGAATCTTGAAAGTAAAGGGGTATCGGCATCGGCGTCATAAATAACTGTTTCTGCCATCTTGCCAACGTGAAAAAAGTATTGTCAACTAGTCTGGAACCTGTAGAGTTTACCTATTTCTAGACTATTAGCACATCCAGACTTGTCAGTTCAGTTTCCGACTTTCGTACAACCCTGAGCCAACGGTCAACTGCAGCATGAGGTGTGAGCGTGGTCACGTCAGCAATCGTCTTGTTCTAGTCCCATTAGTCTTCCATGTGCAAGGAGGGTCAGCTGCGCTGTATTGCGCTCACACCAACTTTCGGACAGCTTTGGAGACACTGCAATCACAACCTGCTGCAAAGCTGCTGCAAGCAGGCCCGGCCTCACGTGAGCGAGAGGTAAGTCCGCCTCCCTGGCCTTGCATGGAACTGATTGCATCAGGTTCCACCTGGAGCGATCCATCGACAATGCCCTGCAACGTCGAGCGCAGAACTGCCAACTGCTGGCCATCAGGGTCTGGATGCTTGGATGAGAGCCATTGATGGGACACGAAGATCGTGAACATTCCGCGGGACCTGGGCACATTGTATCGGTTGTCAAGTGTGAGGGGACTGTTCCAAATTCGAGCCTTATTAGACATCACCGCATATAGGGCCTGATTTGGAAATGAAACTGAGGCCCTGAAGAACAAGTCAGACAGCAGACAAACTGCAGAGGGATGCAGTCTGGGCGCCATTTGTGAAGCAGGCCACGTTCCTTCAACTCATGGTGTGACAATGGGATGCCGTCCATCTGCAAGAGGTCCGACACCTCCAGGTAGCGAGCGCAGTATAGATCTCTCGTTTTTTGTTTGCAGACGCTAATTGACTCAGGCTCTTGACAGTCACCCACGACCGACGCCGCAATGTGATATCACACCACCTTCCCCTACCACCGTTAAGGGGCGCGGCCCTTCTTACATAGCCAGAATGACAGATCTCCTGCCAAGCTGGCCTCAAAGCTCTTAAAGCGATCTTATGTAATTGCAGCGGGCAGTGCCCACCCTGCTTGCTGCTCCCTACCTTCACCACGTACATGGGGAACTGCATCTCATGGACGTACTCGCTCTGGACCCCGCTTGGGCACACGCTTCCCATTGCTTCAACGAACCTTGGGCTGAAACGGCTACGGCCTGCAGCGGCATTCGTCCATCCACAGCAACATGTCCTGCAGTTCAGCGATGTGGAAGCGCGATCAAGTGATATCTCTAGCATCGGCGCAGCGGGTGACTATGTGGTAGTGCGTTTCGGTCGGGGGGGTGCAAGGTCGCTATGTACTTTTGAGCGGCAAGCATGTGGATCCTTGGCGCTGCTGAGGCACTCAGCCAACATTGCTGGCCAGTACACGTTCGAAATCTCATTCTGTGAGCACGCATGCTTGTCACTCTTTTCTCAGACTGGCATTCTAAACACTTTACTTTGAAGAGCGCAAGCTCTAATCCACCCACGCCTACGATCAGCTGCCAAGACTCATTGAATCTTACACCCTAAATATAATATAGACCCCAAAATACTGTGGTCCTTATTATGGGGACCCCCCAAAATGGTACCCCTAATCTTGGGAAACCCTCAGCTATCTCAGGGCCTTGGTAGATAAAAACAGGACGCGAGCAGAACACCTGACTTCGGACAGGGCCAAGACAATCCCACTAAACCCAAGCAATCTTCAAAGGGCTCAAAAGGTGGGATGAGGGAAGGTGGGGTATAGGAAATAAGGCCCCCATATAATAGAGTACATAAGTACATACCTAGGATCCTTTAACCCACCTACCTTCATCCTACCTTTTGAGCCCATTGAAATCTCTGTAAGCCAGCCCCCAAGGAGAAAATCCAAGTACAATCCCATCTTACTTCCAAAAAAATCTGCAGTAGGAATAGCAGTAGTAATTACTAATGATAAAGATAATAGCTCTAATGGGATAATGGCTAAGAAAATGGAAGCTATACTATTTGGGAGATTGTCAAAATTATGGTATCTTTCTGGGTCCCCTAAATTAGGCCCCGTATTATAATAGGGACCCAAAAAGGGACCATAATTTTGACAATCCCCTATTTGTAGAGCCGCCTCGGAAAGGCATCTCCTACTCGCAGCCGCCGCTGCGCGCTCCTTTGGATGGCGTGTGATTTCAGGGCAGCTTCCTGTTTGGACTTTGGGTGTTTAAGGGTTTAGGGGGTTTAGGGTTTAAGGGTCTAGGGTTTGAGGTTTGGAATTTAGGGTTTAGGGTTTAGGGCGAAGGCTCCGCAACCATAACCAAAAGGGGGTTAGGGGTTACTGTCTCAATGGCTGAGAAGCTATTGGACGGGATACAGGTGAGGGAGGAGTGCGGTGGCACTGGAGAGTGTAGGTGAGCATAGACAGCTGGGTTACGTGTTTTAACACGTTTGATATTACACGTTTACGACTGAAGGTTCGAGGTTAGCAGGTGGTTTAGGCTGCATGGGGCACAGGTCATGGGTTGATGTCTGAAGGTTGAGGACCCTAATCTTTAAACGCTAAAAACACTAAAGCCAAAAACCCAAAACCTAAGCCTGAGTCCAAGGACTCTTGGAAAGGGCTTTGCAGCAGGTTCCCAATTAGTACGGAACGGGTTGTCATCTTGTTTCTTACGAGCCCTAAGGGTCCAAGGACCCCAATAACAGGGTTTTAGGGCTCAAATACTAGAATATTACTGGTATTGGGGCCCTAAAACCCTATTATTTGGGTCCTTGGACCCTCAGAAAAAGACATACTCCCGAAATCATAAATCCCAAGTCCATCACCCAACTGCCTCGCGCATCGCCCGCCGCGTTGCTACATCGTCGGCTAACCGCTCGTTCCTGAGACGTCACTGGAGCTGCAGGAACAGCCCCCCGGTGGGTTCTGAGGATTACAATGCAGCTTTTGGAGGAGGCGGAGTTTCTAAAAATCAGGCTCCAATCTTCGGGGACCCTACCATGGGAACTCCACTACTTGGGGGTATGTACTTTGGGGACCCCTGTTTGGAACATACCTGTTTTCTTTGTGAAGAACAGGGGCTACTGTAGGCATCCGTTCCCCTAGGCCAGCACGTAGCCTATCACCCCAGGGCGCCTCCTCAAAAGGTGAAGTGAGCTACAGTCTAAACTCATATCTTCTCCTTTAAGGAGTTTAGACTATAGCTTAAGTGTCCTTCGATGCAGGGTTGTGCTGGAATGCCCCCCTCTACGGGAAAGAGCCATCGCCTATGGCATTCCTGGCTCAAGGTGCTTCGACTGAAATGGCTCTAAGGCTAGATTTAAGTACCTTGGACCAAAACATCAAGTTTGCAGATCAGGTTACGAGGGGGCTTGAAAACTCTACAGGCCTCAACGATGGCTTTCAAGAAAGAATCGAGCGTCAACACGGATGTTGGGTGACGAGGCTGTCATCGTCTACGGTTCATGACTCAACCAACTGGGGTAGTTCGGGGGGCTTGCGACCCCTCCACTGCAAAGGACAGCAATAATCTCCAAGTTGCAACAGCTATGAAGCGACGAATCCCCCTTAGGTAGATAGGATATGGCATTGGGCACATGATACTAAGATCCCCATATGCCCCATATTCTATCTACTAGGGGGACTATAGTGGCTATAAGTCCAAGCTAGCAAAGGCGTTTCCAGACGCAAGTAAACCTTCTAAGGGTTCCTGAGAACAAGGATGATAACATATGGGTGTCTATATTGGGGCCGCAACATTCATGGAAACTACCATATGTACCCCTCGTGTATTTGCCAGTGCATACTCCAGGGTAAGTCTGAAGAAGGTAAAACACATTTCCAAAGACTGCATCCGAGGCGCTTCTCTGTAACTGCCCTCATTGCCTGGGCAAGAAGGAAACGCTTTGTCCTTACATATATATATATATGTGGTAACCCCCCCTAGGACCAACCTTTAGC